TATTATTTATTATATGTTTTAATTTTATTCTTTTTTTATTTTTTTTCTTCTTCAAGGTCCAGTATTGGGCCAATATTCGGGTCCACAGAAACCCAATCGGGTTTGGATCTGACCTAGCCCTAACCCGATTAGGGTTTTCACGTTTCAGTCAGGCATTACACAAGCAGCACGCGTGGAAGCCACACGTAGATCGAAGCCAACAACCAGTGAATTTTCGGCCGCACCAACAGGACTGACCCATCCCGGGTCTTCAGCAACAACCAACCACCCCGAACAAATCGGGAACCAAGGGTACTGGAAACGACCCCCACCGAGATGGTTATAAATACACCAGTGAGGCCACAATCGGGGGGGACTTCAAAACCAACAACACAGATCGGAGAAACCACCACATCACAATCACGAAATAACAACGGAACCACCACCAACAGAGAACACAAAAACCAACAACAAGAGATACACAAAAAATCGAAGCAAACCATAACACAAAAGAGAGAATAAGCAACCAAACCCAAAAGCCAAATCGTCGGAGCAGATCGAGGGAGAGGAAAAGTCGTCGGTCGTCGAGAAAAACGAAAGAGGGTAAAAAATCGAAACTTTTTGTTCAGATCTATGTCGTTCAGGGTCTTTTAGGAAGTTTGGGTCTCGGTTTTGGGATAGGATGATTGTGGAGAGGTTTGTGGGTGATTTTGGTTTTTTCAGTCGTCGTGCGATGGAGTGCGGTGGCCGACTATCCCTCCTGTGGGCCATTTGGGCCGATTTATGGGGCATTTATACCCATTCCTAAATGACGTTGTTTTGGGGAAGGGGTTTCTGCGTAATTTGTGAGTGGGTAAACCCCGTTCATAGTCCTCATATTTTGTAATCTTTACATTTTATTCACTAATTTATTTTTTTCGAATTTGGCATAGGAATTTATGCATGTTTTATTTTGGTCGTTAATGTGAATTATTTTCTTTTATTTCGATCTTTTAATTTTGAAATAATTTCATTTTAATCAATAATTTTATTTGTTTGGTATTTTGTTTAATTACTGTGTGATCCTTTAACATTTTTTTGAACAAAAATATTATTATTATTATTATTATTTTCTAGATTTTTATATTTCTTTCCTTTTTATTTTATTTTTATTTCTTTTAGAAATTAGCATTTTCTTAATTTTTATTTATATCTCTAGTGATATTATTTCACCTTATTATTCTTAATTTAACTTTTAAAATTGTTTCTTTTTGTTTAGCATTCAATATTTTATTTTATCATCTAACATTTTTTGACTTTTTCAGTAGTAATTTTGACCAATCAAAGGTAAGCAATTCGAATCGATATTTTAAATTTCAATTTTAATTTTCGCAATTAAGACAACTGACAAATTAGTTGGTACGAAAGGGCAGTACAAGGGTGCTAATCCTTCCTTGACTGTAACCGACTCCCGAACCTGACACATTTATGGTAAAACGCATATCAGGTAAGACGGTGTCCGATCACCTAAATATTTTTTTAAATGATCGTGGCGACTCTAACCCATTATTTCAAGTCGAAGCCCAATTTCGAACTCACCCGAAAGACGACCGCAACAATATCTTTATTTTATTTAAAAAATAAATAAATAAATAAATAAATAAAACATAGTGTAGCTTCTTAAGTTCATTTGTAGTAAAAGAATTGATGGTCTAAGTATCAAATAAAATATTGTAGCTTCTTAGCTTCATTTGTAGCGGTGGTAAAAGAATAATTGTTATTCTTTATGGTCTTACATTCGAGCACTAAGAATATCATAGGTATGAACGTTTAATATCAAATGATTAAAATATCTTTAAACAAATATTAGCTTGTATTTATCCTAGATTAATTAAAAAAACTCCATTTATAGCTTATTATATATCTTTCGATTTCATCCCAAAAGTTATCCAAATATGTCATTAGTTTCAAGTATAGTTTAACCTATTTTTTTAAACATGTAATGATATAATTTGGCCTAACGATTTTATTAACAAAGGACATGATTAGTATATACATATAATTTGGGATGAAATTGAAATGTTTAAAAAGGTTAGAGACCAATCTAAAATGGAAGTCATAATTTGAAGATAAAAATAAAATGTTCAAAATTTTAAAGACCAACTTAGAATGATAATTATAGTTTAGGGATGGAATTAGAAGATTAAGAAGTCTAAAAACTAATTTAAAATACAAACCATAATTAAAGAAATGCAAGTAACTAAATTTATATTCAATAACATCTTGTTCAATTCATATTTATCAAAAACTTCGTTGCTCGATACGACTCTTTGTTTGTTGAACTTGTTAGATTTATACCTTGTTATTTTAATTTATGTAAAAAAATATAATAATAGAATATAGAACTTAATATAAACATAAATTAATAAATTTGACAAAAATGTCAAAATAGTGTGTGAAACAATTCAAAATCTAAATTCTAAAGTAAAAATTCATAAATACACAAAACTAACATATTACAATCAAAGCAATAATCCACAAATAAATCAAACTATTTTTTAAAAAAAAATTAACAATACATAATCAATCCTAAATATAAGATAATCACCATTCTAAAATACTATTTTAAAAAATTAATGAGTTGATCTCGAACTTATCGAGTCGAATTGGATCTTAGTCGACTTGATTTATTAAGGTATCAAATTGAACTTGAATTGGGTCAGTTCAACTTAAATCAAATATTAATCGAATTTTGATGAGTTGAACTCGAGTTGCTGCATTTGAATGAGTTAGATGTGTAATAGAATTTTCAATGAGTTGAACTTGTAAAAGAACCATTTGAACGAGTGTTGATCTTAGTAATGAAATCGGCCGCTGCATTTGCTTCATATTTAATATGCACGTTTACTTATAAAAATGGTATATTATATGTTTAGTCACCTAACATTTACTGTATTCTGTTTTGATCACTCAATTATATTTTTTTAAATTTGATCACTAAAATTTCAAATTTCACTTGTTTAGATCATTCCAATATTAATTCTTTAATGTTGTTTAAAATTTTGTTGGAAAAACTTACTCAAACATCAGTGATCATTTCATTTCGTGTAGTTTACCCTAAAAATAATGGTAGCATGTTAAAATAACAAATAAACTTGTATAAATATATGAAAATAATTATAAACTTATATTTGGACGTGCATGCATGTTAAACATACATATATTAATAAAAAAAACATACATATATAATAAAAAACATACATACATAACATTGAACAAAAAGGTGATCCGACAACGAGACTACGAGAGGCACTTCTAAATTCAAATTAAAGATATGTTTTGCATACGTAAAGTACTTTATTTTGCGTATTCAACACAAAAAATTCATTGAAAATTTAAAACAAATCTTCTTAGGCACTTTTGTTTAATAACCAGTTTTATTAATACATTTCATTTTATCAAGATAAATTCGATAGTTTATTTGTACAGATGACAGTGCAATTCTTTTTTTACAGATTTCAGGGACGGAGTCAAAATTGAGCTATGAGGGATCAAATTGCTTAACTTTAAATTAAATAGGATCTTAGAAAGCAATTGAATCATAAAAATCAAGAGATTAAGGATTTAATTTCATTAATTTTAAAATCGAAAGGTCTTAAAATGTAATTAAACTAGATACATTTGAGATTAAGAGTTAATTTTTTTAATTTTAAAATTGACAATATCCTAAAAACAATTATGCCAAAAATTTTGAGAGAGACAACTACTTAATCACAATGGTTTTAAAATTACCAGTGGCTTAAGAGGTAATTAGACCATCAAAGTTTGGGACATCAGCTGTTACCTCTCCCACCTATAATGCAGGTTCGTCCCTGTTTGGTTTGGAACTCAAAACGACATAGGTTGGATTTCCACCCCCCCAAAGTTAGGTCATGTTCAAGGTGGGTGATACCTTTCTAAACTAAGATCGAGTCAAATTGCGAGTAAAAGATATAATACTTGAGTCAAAATCGAGGTGATCGAACACACTAGTCAAGAAAAACACCGGTGAAGATATAATCTATTATTTTTCATCCATTAATAACTAACTAATATGGAGTATTTAATTATCACCATTCAAATGTGTGGGACACATCAATTAAATGTAAAAATCAGCTCATAAATAGTGATTAAATATGAATTAAATACTAATAAATAAAGAAAATAATGAAAGAGAACCAACCCTCCAAAACCCAAAGAATAAAAGAGTGCATTGTCCTTATTATTCATTCAACTAGGAATTGTCAATACAAAATCAACGAATTTACTTAACGAGCAATTAAACCTGATTATGAATATGACATTAATAACACAGAATATTTAACATGAAATTAATGTCTGTAAAAAGTTGATGCTCAAAATAATTAATTTATTTTTTTTAGAAAAAGCACGAGAATGTTATTTATAAGTTATGATGTATGATTAGGTTTATAAAAACTATGTTAAAGGTTAAAGTCGATATACTTGCACAGATAAAAAAAAAATGAACCCGACTTATGTTTGATGGTTTTATTTTAATTTTGGAAAATTTTAAAAATAATAAACAATTTAATTTATAAGTATAAAGTTTAATTAAGATTAACCTATCTTAATCATTAGAAGCTATTTTTAGCTTGTTTCAAATTCTTAAAAATCTTTTTAATAGTATTATTAAAAGATTATCTATCTAAACCTTGTAGTAGTATCTTAGTTCAATGATGCATGTGCAACCATTCAAATAATGGAAATTAGGCCTTCAATTTTTGCACACCTCTTTGACTAAAGGAAAAGTAAACAAGAACTGCCCATGTGTGAGCCACATGGTCTTCCAAATTCGGAGACATAGACTTGGAAGCAAAACTAAACATGTCCTAAAAAATAATAACTTATTAAAATGAGAATGGACTGCATTAATTATATTTACATGTAGAGTAAATAATTTATTATGGGCCCCCATTCCTCGGCCCTTCCAACTCCTCGATAAGTACCCACCTTCTTCCCGCTTTCTATTCGCCCCAAATTAACGAATCGTCTCTTGAAAAAACAACAACAATGGCTGCTTCTTCTTCTTCTTCTTCACTGAGATTGCTCTATTTTGCTTCATTGATGTGTCTTTATGCTATAGCGAATGCGAAAATCCCTGGGGTTTACACTGGTGGACCTTGGGAATCTGCGCATGCTACTTTCTATGGTGGCAGTGATGCTTCTGGAACTATGGGTATTTATTTGTTCTGAGATTTTGCTGTGTTTAGCTTACAAGAACAGTAAAAATGAAAACTCTATATGTTAAAATGTGTATCTGGCTTTCCTTTTTTTTGTTAAGGCGGTGCATGTGGGTATGGGAATCTGTACAGCCAAGGCTATGGCGTGAGCACAGCAGCATTAAGCACTGCACTGTTCAACAATGGGCTGAGCTGCGGTGCTTGCTTCGAGATTAAGTGCACCGACGACCCCAGATGGTGTAAGCCAGGCAACCCTTCCATTTTCATTACTGCCACTAACTTTTGCCCTCCTAATTTCGCTCTCCCCAATGACAATGGCGGCTGGTGCAACCCTCCTCGCCCTCACTTCGACCTTGCCATGCCCATGTTCCTCCAGATCGCCGAGTACCGTGCTGGTATTGTCCCCGTTTCCTTCCGCAGGTACGTCGGCTAAAATTTCCTTAAATTTTGTTATTTTGAACTGTTAATTCTTATATCTGGGTAAAACAGAAAATTTTTATTCCGTGTTTGTGTACATTTAATGCGTTTTCAGCTGGAATTTTCTCAGGAACCAAACAGTGTTTTGTTACGAATATACTGTATGAAATTCTATATATAAAAAACAAAGAATAAGCCTTTATCAGCTCATAATGTCGGTGTCTGTTGAGATTTTGAGAATCAAACCCAGAATTTAATGTCGTTCAACCCAATTTAGACCCAGCGGCTGATCCGAGAAAGGACCCAAACAACCCTTGCCCTTAGAGCTACGTATTGCCAGGGTATTACCGTAAATTTACTGGTCACTAAGATTTTCCCTGAAAATCAGACATCCTTAAAACGACAAACTTCACGACATCCCACGCGCTGAAACCGTTCTCTCATCATCAAATGCGGAAATGAAGGATTTCTTTTTTTAATTTTTGATGTTTACATAAATGCCCTTTTATTTTTAATTTTTTTACAGAGTGGCTTGCCGGAAGCAAGGTGGAATCAGATTCACGATCAACGGATTCCGATACTTCAATTTGGTTTTGGTGACCAACGTCGCGGGTGCAGGGGATATCGGGAAGGTGAGCATCAAGGGAACCAACACCGATTGGTTGAGCATGAGCCGTAACTGGGGTCAGAACTGGCAGTCAAACTCCGTTCTGGTTGGACAGAAGCTCTCGTTTAGGGTCACCGGCAGTGACGGACGGACCTCCACCTCCTGGAACGTGGCACCGGCTAATTGGCAGTTCGGCCAGACCTTCACCGGAAAGAATTTCCGCGTTTGAAACACACTTCCTCTCCCTATTTAAACTTATATAAATATAGTTTCATTTTGTTTCTGGCCCTTCAATTTTCTTTAATTTTCTCGGGAAAATTTGAAGTTGTGGGTAAAAGTAAAAAACGTGCTTTTGGGTAGAATTCACTTACGCAAAAGAAAGAATAGATAGGAAAGTCACCAAGTGAAGTCGGGTGGGTAATTTTCTTTTCTGGAACTGATATTTGGTTTAAGTGTTTTGGGTGTGGATTGTAATGAAGCTGGAAGCAATGGTAAAAAAAATTCCAGCTGATGGTAAAAAGGTTGTAAGCTGAAGCGGCTGCAAATCAAAGAAACATGTAGCCCTCAGTTGTTGGTCGTACTATAGTAATTTCATTTTTACTGCTATAAAATGGTCTTTGTTTTAGTCCTTGGATACGTTTCAAAGGAAAATCAAAACGTAATATTAAGATTTATCATCTCATATAACTTACCCTTTGTAACTTTTTGTGTGGTTATTACTTTGGGCCAAATAAAATTTAAAAAATAAGGGAATCGAACCCGCCACCACATAGTTCTGACTACCGGAGGTCTTCCACGGAAGCTGCTCTCAACCCGTTGGGGGCAGTCTACTACCTTACTTCTCCTTCACTCCATTACATATGAGAATATGTAATAGGGTCAGCTAATTTATATTTGTGAAGAAGAGTCAAAGTTAAACCCACCAAACTTTAGAAAAGATCACCAGGAACAATCCATTTCCGATACTAAATGAAAATAATGTCACATTTGTGGATCGTAGTTTAGTTGGCAATTGAACAAGTTACACAGGTCGATGGCAAATCTTGATACTAAATGAAACACACGTCTCTCAAGAAGTGGTTGGTTTATGATTGGAAGGGTTGCGAGCATTTGCATGAGATTCATTCTATACGCTTTTCTATACACAAGTTAACGTTCTCCTGTTGGCCTCTTCTTGTGTATAGCTAACCAGGCGGATAACCAAATAGTTAAATGCATGATACGAAAAAGAATGTTTAGCAAATCTCCAAGCTACATACGTAAACAGAAGAAAAATAGAGCTGATAGCAATACTTGTCACTAAATACTCCGGAGCCAGAAGGGAAATTAAATGTACTTGAAACCTAGTGATCCACCACATGAATCTACTTGATACGAAGTCTAAACTCGTCACTATCCGGAGCAGCATATCCGTAAGTTCCCATGAGTGACCCCAGTAGAAACATGACTCTTATCACCGGTTGGTCATGTCAGAAAGGGCTCATCGTGGCCGGATGATTGTAGGAAATGGTTTTAACAACGGTAAATCAAGGGAGAAGCGGTGAGCAGCATTTAGGGTTTAAAAATTTTGAAGAACACAAAATATTATGCTCTTAGTATAAAAAATGAATTACAATATACAAGAGTTAAAAAATTGTCTGACTCGTTACAATATAATAGGTTATATACAGGGAGGAACATAGGATTTTACGCTATGGGATGCGAGTTCGAACTTTTATATTTAGTAAAACTATAACGACTTCAAGTTAATATAAAATAACAACTATAGTAATTGATATCAAGTATCTCATCGAAGACCAAACCTCCCTCTGCTACCTTTATGTAAAGAATTCATATCAAGTATCTCTATCTCACGTTTCTGACAAAATGATGTTACCTTTTCAAGTAAAGGATCCCACCCTTCTTTCTGAACTTTTGTATAAGTTTTTTTTAACTTGATACTAAATGCAAAGCATATAGTATATCTTGAGATTTACGTTGCAAAGCTTGACTAAGATTATCAGTGATGCTTAAAATATCTATCATGAGATGCAAGATGAATACAAACTCAAAAGATGTCATCACATCATAAACACTATCTGATTCGCTTCTCTAAGTCAAATTTTCATCATTTATGATGTTCTTAAGAACATAACAAGTAGCATCAAACATCTTGAGCAAGCTACGAAGTGAAGTTAAATGTGAACCCCACCTTGTATGTCTCGCACGTTATAAAATGCCAATATGATTTTTTTCCATTTCTTGGGTCTAACCTTTCAATAGCAATGATATTTGCAATATGACTTACTTTTGCATCTCTCAATTGATCTTCTCTCTTGTACGAAAAGGTAACTAAATTTTTTTATGATAGTTAAATATGAGAAAAATCATGCTACTGGAATCACTTCTTTGGATGTTGCCACCAAGGTCAATTGTAATCTATGAGCAAGTCAATGAATATAATAACAATGGACATTCTTTAAGGAGTAATGCTTGCAAACCGTTGAGTACTCCACGCATATTGCTAGCTGCATCATATCCTTAACCTTTTATATCTTTCACATCGAAACAATGATGTGAAAGAATGTTACAAATCTCTTTCTTCAATGTGAATGAAGTAGTTTCCTTTACATGGACTAGGTCAAAAAATCTTTCATATATAAAACCTTCTTTATCAACATATCTCAACACAATTGTCATTTGCTCCCTTTTCGATTCATCACGAGCTTCATCAACTATGACACAATTTTTGTTCTTCAATTTCATCTCGAATATGCTTTTGTATCCGAGATCGAAAAAGACAAAGAATCTCCTTTTAGATTCTCAGAGAAACATACTTTGAATTCTTTGGAGCATTATTCAAAACCATAGCAACATCATCATTATAACAAGCCAATAAACTTACTAATTAAAGAAAGTTTCCACGATTGGTTGAACCTTATGTTCCATCACGACACCGTAAAGCACAACCTTGAAAGGTTAACCACTTCACAACTTTTATAAAAATTTCAGTAGGAATCAATTTCTTGCAACTTGATGAGATGTTTGTTTTTCAATCACCTTTTCGATATGTTGAAGGGAGTTTATCAAATCATGATAATTTTTCATGGCCTTCTTGTGGATAGAGTTAGCATCTTTCCCGACATGAAGAAAGAAAGCACAAATAAATCCTTCATTAACTTTCTTCCAAGACAGAAAGCCATCACGAGTAAAAGCATTTGATCCAAGAAGTCCAAGAGGCTTATTAAAGAGAAAACATGGAAGATAATAAGTGGTATCCTTGGTTGATGAATATTCCAATCAATCGGGAAATAACTTATACCATGAAGTCAAAACTCGACGTCCACACTTATCAACATATTTTGGATCATTAGAAGGAATGGGTTGATGAGGACCTTTTCCGATATACGCTCGTCGAACTTCATCTTGTTGATTTAGAGGAAAATCCCAAATAGAATTTCGTATTCTGGAATCACGCTCAATAGTAGTGCATCAAAGGTTTCTTGTTCAACTCTTGGAGCTTTACTCGGACGACTATCCGTCATTGGAGAATTAATGGGTGCCAAACTTGAATTTGGAGAGCTCTCACTAATATGAAGATAGCTACTATTAAGTTCGGGCTCTTTTTAATCAACCAAAATTTCAATATGAGAACAACCAATATTACTTTCGGAAGATTCCTTTCTTTAAAAAAATAATCAATTTTTTGATTACCCATATCGAACTTTAGAGGTTCTTCACTCCTCCGTTTCTTGAAATACAATGTCAAATTCCACTCATTAATATCTAAAAAATTATAGTGTAATATTCAAATTATAAAAATATTTTAATCTTACATGTTTTCTCTTAAGTAGTTAAACTAGCTCAATTTACGCTTTTTTTTGTTGCCAAATCTCAATTTGTACATCCTAAACCTAAATTAATAATTCTACTATTATCATTGGATCATAAGTTCTAATTTAGAAAGAATAGTCTACATAATAACTCCCCCATTTTATGCTTTTTTTTTAAAACAGTCCTACTATTTTGCACATACAATTCTCATACTTTTTTATTTAATTTAATCCCAAATTCACTTTTAATTTCATCTAAATTTAGTCTTTAATTTAGATCGAAATTTAGGTTTATAAATATTAAGGGGTGCAAAATATAAAATTATAGGGGTGCGAGATATAAAATTCTAGGGGGTGCGAGATTAGATTATCAATAGAAAATAAGAAGAAAATATTTAAACTATAGAATAATTTGAAATTTCTAGGGGTACGACCGCACTCTAGCACCCCCTTCGGTCCATCCCTGGTTATATAGCTCAAATTCATCAACAAAATAAAAATGACCAAACAGATTAAGATCTAACTAACAATCTAAACCAAACTACTGCTAACAATTTATCTGTAACGTTCTCCCTCCTTCAAGTCATTGATTTTCTTAAAAAAAATTGGTTTTGTGATCGATTAACATCATGCCATAAGCTAGTGTGATACCTGAAAAGAGTCTTCGTTCTTCCTTCATTCACCTTTATTCTTCTTCTTATTCTTTCACGCAACACCACCTATCGCAAACATTTCATGCAGTTTTTCTTCCTTCATCTTTAATGCCATTCTTCTTCACTTATTAGGACGATTTTTGTTGTTGGGAGAATTAAAGGTGATTAAGCTGGGAGAAAGATGATTAAGCTACGAATTTAACGTTAAGTTTTGAAAAAATTGAAAGTTTAGGTACTAAAACTAATAGTTTAGGTATAAAACACATTAAGATTTTAACGACGGGATACTAAAATGAAATGAAAACTAAACGTTAGATATGATTTATGGTTTTGAAAAAATTCAAAGTTTAGGTACTAAAACGGATCAAAACTGATAGTTTATATACTAAATGTGTAGTTTACCCAAATATTTTCATGATACCTTGATTGTTAAGCAACAAAAGTATCTTGTGAAAGAAGCTACAGACAACGAAGAAAACGAGAGGAAAAAAAAACTGTCATTAATAAGCAACTCAATTCATTTGTATCCAACATTCAATAGCCAACTTAGAACCAAACCACCACCAGCTGTAATCAGCAAATGAACCAAAGCTTAACTAATATGCACATGAACAATTGCAGGTTCAAGGATATTAGCAGAGAGACAATTAGCCATTACCAAGTCAAAAGTGTGATTACTAAAACTAACTCATCCACGAAACCAACAAATCAAGACCTCATCAACAGAACGTTCTAGGCCAACTAAAGTGTTATTTTGATCTACTTTATCAAACATTGGGCTGAATATTCTCATTCTGTCCAATATGAAGACCACTGTTTTATTTAAGACAAATTTGCTTTGTTTTATTTAAAATCCTAATCTATATCGACTTTATCCCTATCTCAAGATTAGGATTGTAAATGGGACTAAATATATAATAAGATTTTCATGTGCTTAAGATTTAAATTTGAGTTCGAATCTGAGCTTCAGCCGAACTAAGAGTCTGAGTATGTTTTGAGTTCGATTTAAACTTGTTAATTTTAAACTTACAAATTTTTAAATCGAATCAAATTTAACTTTAATTTTTTGAACCAAATCGAATTCAACAATACTCAAATACAACTCGAATTATTTACTGTCATGGTCGAGATGGATACTTTTTTGTGTTTTGTGAAAAAGGGGGC